CAGATCAAGGCTACTGCTCTACCACTTGGAGCCACTGTGTCACTTCTGTCTTTTTCTGTTTATGTGGTGCTGAGGAATCGAACCCAGGGCCTCATGCATGCAAGGCAAGCACTCTACCACTGAGCTACCTTCCCAGCCCCTCTAATTCCTTTGACATACAGCTAAAACTAAACTCAACTTCTAACATACAATGGATATCACCTAAAAAAGGAAGAATGTTCAAGGTGTGATTCAAATGGTAGCAAACAGGATATATGAGTTCAAACCTCAGGATCACCAAAACAAATGAAAGAAAATCTTAGACTGAATTTACTAACACCTCTAATAGCTATCATCTTTCGCTGTGGAGACAACTTGCTTATCCTTAAAGGGGAGAATGTAGGCAATTAAGCACTTAACAGCAACAGCAGAATATATATTCTTACTTATTACCAAAATACAGAAATAGCTCTTAGTTAGAACAGACAGTATTTACGGCTCATAGAAAGGATATGTTAACAGCAAATACATCCATGTACTAAACTCAAAATAGGAAATACGGTCAGGAAAGTCTGTGAGATTCTTATCTCCAATAAACCACCAGAAAACCAGAAGTGGCAGTGTGGCTCAAGTGGTAGAGTGCTCGCCTTGAGCTGAAAAGTGCAGGGACAGTGCCCAGGCCCAGAGTTCAAGCACCATGAGCAACAACAACAACAAAAAAGAATGAAGAAGTTTCTTTCCCTGAGAACTGCCTGAGTGTTTTTTGTCAGTATTTCTTCTTTACTTCAAAAGGGAAAAAACCCAACCTATTTATTAATTAATGTAGTTTTGTTTTGTTTTTTTTTTGGGGTCCGGTCATGGGGCCTGAACTCTGGGCTTGAGCACTGTCCCTAAGCTCTTCAGCTCGAGGCTACTGCTCTACCACTTGAGCCACAGCGCCACTTCCGGCTTTTTTCTTTTTGCTTACGTGGTGCTGAGGAATCGAACCCAGGGCCTCGATCATGCAAGGCAAGCGCTCTACCACTGAGCCACCTTCCCAGCCCCATATTAATTAATGTAGAAAAGATCAAATGAGTAGTTGTTTCCAATTTAAACATGTGTGTGTGGGGGGGGGTAGTCTTGGGGCTTGAATTCAAGGTCTAGGTGCTGTCCTTGAGCTTTTTTGCTCAAGGCTACTGCTCTACCACTTAAGCCATGGCTCTTGTGTCCTGCTTTTTAGAGGTTAATTGGAGTTGACTCTCATGGATTTCCTTGTCTCAGCTGACTTTAAACTGAAGTCTTCAGATCTCTACTTTCTCAGTAGCTAGCATTACAGGAATGAGCTACCAGCACTTGGCCACAAAGTAAAATAATACTCATTTAAAAGAAGTTAGGGGGTTGAAGGTTTAGCCCAGCGGAAGGGCGCCTGCCTGGCACACATAAGGCCCTGGTTTCGGTCCTCAGCCCTGGAAAATAAAAATAAAAGAAATTAGATTTCAAAACAGCACCATTCCTCTCTCTCGATTTTTCAGGGTTTGGCTCTGTAGCTCAGGTTGGACTTGAACTTATGTCTCCTGTCTCTGCCTCCTAGAATTGTAGGTATGTATCCCCACATGTAGCAGAGATATTTGAAAATAGAGAACACTTGACTGTTTTAGGAAGATAGATAAAAAGAGTGATAGGGTGTAAAATGATCTTTTAATAGGTCTTTTTTTTTGTTTTGTTTTGTTTTTGGCGCTGTCCCTCAGCTCTTCAGCTCAAGGTTAACACTCTACCACTTGAGCCACAACGCCACTTCTGGCTTTTTTCTTTTTGCTTATGTGGTGCTGAGAAATCGAACCCAGGGCCTCATGCATGCAAGGCAAGCGCTCTACCACTGAGCCACTTTCCCAGCCCTTTTTTTTTTTTTTTTGGGTCCGGTTGTGGGGCCTGAACTCTGGGCCTGGGCACTGCCCCTCAGCTCTTCAGCTCAAGGCTAGCGCTGTACCACTTGAGCCACAGCGCCACTTCCGGCTTTTTTCATTTTGCTTATGTAGTGCTGAGGAATCGAACCTAGGGCCTCAGGCATGCAAGGCAAGCGCTCTACCACTGAGCCACCTTCCCAGCCCCTCCCAGCCCTTTTAATAGGTCTTTATTAAAAGAGCCGAACACTAGTGGTTCATGCCCTAATCCTAGCTACCTCAGGAGGCTGAGCTCTGAGGATCGAGGTTCAAAACCAGCCAGGACAGGAAAGTCTGAGACTCTTATCTCCAGTTAACCACCAGAAAACTGGAAGTGGCACTGTGGTTCAAGTGGTAGAGTGCTTGCCTTGAGCTGAAAAGCTCAGGGACAGTGCCCAGGCCCAGAGTTCAAGCCCCACAACTGACCAAAAAAAAGGGGGGGGCTGGAAAGGTGGCTCAGTGATTAAGTGCTTGCCTTACATGCGTGAGGGCCTGGGTTCGATTCCTCAGCACCACATAAGAAGAAAAAGCCAGACGTGATGCTGTGGCTCAAATGATAGTGCGCTAGCCTTGAGCCTTGAGCTGAGGGACAGCACCGAGGCCCAGAGTTCAGGCCCCACAACTGACAAAAAAAAAAAAATTGAAAGAAGAAAGAGAAAGGAAAAATTAATCACAAATAAGTTTGGAAATTAGTCTCAGGTAAAACAAGGCTGAAGAGAAATTGTAAGATGTTGAAATATACCTTAATGTAATAACATAGACATAGAGGTAATTAGTGAGAGCATTGGCTTTATTGGGTAACTAGTGAAAGAATACAGTTGAGTAAATTAGTGAGTTTATAAGAAAAATTAAATAGGCACATTATTTTAATGAACATCACTTGCTAAGTAAATGCTGAGTGGCAAATTCTGTGACATCTGTGTGATGGCATATTGGGTGTTACTTCATCAAATGTTCCAGATATTTATAAGTTTTGTTTATCGCTTTGTTTATGTAATGTTGGGAAATGACCCCAGGCCTGGAACATGCTAGGCAAGGGGTCTCCCACTAAGCTTCAAACATTTTCAAGCTTCTAAATTACATTAACTTCTCTTTATACGTGACTACAGCTATTAGAAATAATATTATGGATTGCTCAATTTACTGATTTTTAAGGGATTATCTTAAGAGCTGAGGGTATAACTCAGTAGATAAGTAGAGTGCTTGCTCATCATGGATGAGGTCCTTTCAGTTCCCAGCACTGGTGGAGGGTCAGGGGATGGGGGAAGAGGTTTAATTATCAAAGGTATGTGCATTCACATGTGAATAGATGATCTGAAATGAAGAGTTACTGTCACAAAATTAGTTTGTTTTCAGTATGTATTTTCTGTGCGCCTTTAACTTCGGGGTCCTGTGCTAGGCCTGGAGTATAATAATGCACAGAAAATGGTTGGTCCCTGTGAGAGCCCATTTTCTAAGGGAGAAGAACTGAACAGGCAGCAGGAGTATAGTGTGATGAGAGACCAAATGGGGAAATGCACATTGTACCTCAGAGGAATGTGGAACTAACTCAGCTTTTGGGGGTCTGTATGTGGTAATTACTAAACTATATTTCTAAGCATTAGACTAAGGCTGCTTAAGAGTAGTAGGGCACTAGGTTGTAAAGAGGGAGTGGTCTCACTTGTAATCCTACCTACTCAGGAGGCTGAGATCTAAGGATAACAGTTAAAAGCCAGCCCGGGCAGCAAAGTCCATCTCCACCAGGAACCCAGAAGAGGCACTTTGGCTGAAGTGGTAGAACGCTTTTGCCTTAAGCTGAAGAGCTCAGGACAGAACCCAGAACCAGAGTTCAAGACACTTCTGGGCAGAGTAGCAGTCTGCTTTTAGACTGCTTTTTAAATCTGTGAATAATATTCCTTTATTTTGAATGCATTTTGAATGTTTTGTAGATTATAATTTTCTAAGGGCAAGAATTATAATCATCGGGCTGGGAAAGGTGGCTCAGTGGTAGAGTGTTTGCCTTGCATGTGTGAGGCCCTGGGTTTGATTCCTCAGCACCACAAAAGCAGAAAAAGCCAGAAGTGATGCTATGGCTCAAGTGGTAGAGTTCTAGCCTTAAGAGAGAGAGAGAGAAAGAAAGAAAAAGAAATATAACTACCGTAGGTACTATAAAAATGATAGGACCTAATAAGTGGGGTTTTTTTTTGTTTGTTTTTGCTTTTGCTTTTTGCCAGTCCTGGGGTTTGAACTCAGGGCCTGGTCACTATTCCTGAGCTGCTTTTTTTCCTTCTTTTTGTGTGTGTGTGTGTGTGTGTGTGTACGTGTGTGTGTGTGTACGTGTGTGTGTGTGTACGTGTGTTTTCTGGTGATTAATTAATTGGAGATAAGAGTCTCATGGATTTTCCTGCCTGGGCTGACTTTGAACTATGATCCTCAGATCTCAGCCTCCTGTGTAGCTAGGATTACCGGAGTGAACCACCAGTGCCTGGTTCCTGAGCTTCTTTTGCTCAAGGCTAGAACTCTACCACTTCTGGCTTCCAGCTTTTTCTGTTTATGTGATACCCAGGACTTCATAAATGCTAGGCAAGCACTCTACCACTAAGCCACATTCCCAGCCCTAGCAACGTTTTTTGTTGTTGGTCAAGGGGCTTGAGCTCAGGGCCTGGATGCTGTCCCTGAGCTGTTTCACTCAAGGTTAGTGATCTATCACTTTGAGCCACAGTTCCACTGATTCATGAATAAAGAAAATGTGGCAAACACTGGTGGCTCATGCCTGTAATCCTAGCTACTCAGGAGACTGAGATCTGAGGATTCCAGTTCAAAGCCAACCTGAGCAGGAAAGCTCATGAGACTCTTTTATCTACAATAAACTGGGAGGTACTGTGGCTCAAGTGGTAGAGCACTAGCCTTGAGCTGAAGAGTTCAGGGACAGTGCCCAAGCCCAGAGTTTAAGCCCCATGACGTCAAAAACAAACAAACAAACATGGCCCATGACCGTCAAAAAAAAAACAAAAACATAGGGGCTGGGAAGGTGGCTCAGTGGTAGAG